AAGCTACATTGCAGAACATTGTCACTTCGTCATAATGGTCAGAATCTATACACATTGCTGACTGCAAAAAAAAAGCTGCACTGTACACAAGTATTACGAGCGATTCCACTGGAAAGAACGAGTCAATTCATAGAATTACCTGCATGGACATAATGCCGATGTATGAAATGCTAACGAACACATCGCACAACGAAAGACACGTCAAATACTGCAGATTACGTCGACGTAGAATTTTCGAATNTTCTCGATGAGACTGACCAATGCAACTGTTGCACCAATACATCCAACGAAAACCATTTTGAACTCCTTCAAATAATCTCTCGTTTATCGCGAACTTTGCTCAGTTTGGATTACGACTAAATATGTTTCATATTTGCACTCGCTGAGCACTGCACATGCTAATTTCATTCAGCAAAACAAATTTGAACGCACTCTACGCTGAGAATCTTTGAGAATCGCCTTCTAAAGCGATAGCTTGTAATGAGCGTTTCACACGCACTCAGCTTTGTGCTCTGTACCAGCTGACGATCATATTTAGTATCACTTGAGACGCGGTCTGGGAGAATTGTGTGGAAATCTGCTGCAGATTTTCACTGAATTGCTCACCGAACAGTTTCATTTGAATAAAAGCTTTTTCTCGAAAGGAAAACACCGCGAACAAATCTATCTTGCGCATTCCGCTTTGCTCGATGATATTCGCAATAATTCATGTGATCAATTTCAAAAAGCATACTGAAAATATGGCGAAACAAATTCACCAGAAATACTGGAGGATGCTCGATGCACGAATCTTCGTCAGTGCCATTCTCCAGCGATTCATTCGTGACCATTTTCCTAACTGAAACGAACGGAATCAATGCGCAATACTTGAAAAAAAAGCACGGCATTTTCGATGAAATCACCGCTTGTAATCGTGAAGTATTCACGTTAACCAATAGGACGCGAACTTACTCGCACATATTATTTGTAATAATTACATTCGCGTATTATCAAGCAAAACACTCTCAGCTACTGAGTGGCGACTATCAAATGATTTTTCGCTTCTCAAGAAAGGATCCGAAGGCAGAAGCCATCGATGAATTAATGGAACAAGCGATAAATGAAGCTATCACAACTTGAATCTGCTCCTATTTCGACCTGTCTTGCATGTGACGCACGCACTGCATTAATTCGACGTGCAAGATTTCACGTAACGGAATATTGGGAAACAATTTGCCGATTGGTCTAAACTTCTGCCATCTTTCAAAATTATAATTTCGAACCGAAAATTGTCTCCCACTCGATCATTTTCAGGCTCGATTGATTCGTTCGCCTTTCACCGACGCTTTCGGTAGTGGCCGTAATTGCGCAATCTGACGAACAATTCAGAATAGGCTCACTCTCGCTTAGTGGGTACGAGGCACTCTTTTTTGAAAAGATAAGATCAGTCTGAAGGTGATGAAACACCGAATAAGAGTCATCGTTAACCGTTTTTTGAATTTTCATCGAGACGATCACTGGTGACCACAAATCATTATTCATAAATGCTTTCATTCGATAGTAAAAATCGATCACACAATCTTACCAGTAGATCACAAATCTTCTATACTACGATGGTCAGTAAAATACCGTGCACTTATTCGAATAATGGGTGAACTTGATAGAGGTGTTGCTGAACTGAGGGAGAATGCCTGAAACAAATGTATCTCATGAGTATTCCACCAAACAATGCCACTTAGTCACAGCCTTATTTTTGTTGACGAAAATATTCATCAAAGTTGGTTTTTATTTGAAACAAACAAAATTTCTAAGACAGCTTGGTGTGTTATTCAAGTTGATTGAGTTGGAAGCTTGCTTTTGGAGTTTCCCAGACCTCGTCGTATTTACATTCAGCGTTGGTCAGAAGCGTTTTCACGCTGGATATTAAAATCTTGTCGCCAGAAGGAAATTTCTAAAAGCGCCACTCACGAACATTGGCCGAATTAAGAGCAGTATTGGGAAGGGTGGAATTCGATAGCTAAAGGCATGATGTGTGTGCAGACGATGGAGCTGTTCCTACATGAGATCAGAATTTGAATAGCACATGAAGATATAGCGCTTTGTCGATGATATCACGATCATCCGCAAGAAGTTATGAATAGCAACGGTGATGATGCTAGAGTTAGGCCCTCAAGTCGAAATGAAATTAGATTCTGCTTATTAGGATCCTCGACAAAACTATTCATAAGCAATACTCCATCAAGATAATTCACCCGCTGATATCGCTTTCACATCGGAACTGATGTACGCAAACATCTACGAGAGGAGTGACAAATGATGCGAATGATTTTGGAACAAGTTTCACGCTCAGAGTTGAGTTATATATACTCCAGACGATAGATGCCAAGGAGTTAATCAAATTTGATCAGTGCAGACTCATTCTGATGATTTTATTATAGCCATATCTGCT